ATGACCCCGGGGGGTAGGGCGGGGTCACAATAGGGAATCAAATTTTTATATAGATATATAGGGAAAATCTTTAAAAATCTTCTTCTCAAGAACCACCTGGCCAGAAACGCTAAAACTTATGTGGAAGCATCCTGAGGTAGTGTAGATTTCAAATTGTTTAAATTATGATCATTGGGGTAGGGTGGGGTCACAATATGTATTACAAGGGGGAAATCTGGTAAAAATCAGAATGGTCAAATATTCTCAGGTGAGCAATGTGGCCCATGGGCCTCTTGTTTTAAATTTTTGCAGCATCTTTGAAAATAACCTCCAATTAAAGTTGTAAAAAACAACTTTTTTTCTGTTCAAGCACCTATTTTAAATGAAGTTTGGCATAGAACTTCATCAGGGCAGGCCTGTTCCTAAATTTAATTATGGAATTTCCATTGATTTTGATCTAAGGAATTCTTTAAAAGAAGATTTCATTGCTCATTGCATTCCTGTACCTAAGTTTGAGAAATTTCTCTAGAGAAAAAACATACAAAATTCAAAAAACTTTAAGTATCACACTGGTTTATTTTGATGCATTTTGTCTTCATAGTCATTATAGCTCAGATGGATATAGCCACTGACGCTCACCATGAACATGTTTCAGTGTACTTGTTCAAAGCAAATATTGCTGCAATTTCTTTTCATGAACATTTCTGGATTATAGTAAATGGATTACATATGAAACAGACTTTTGCATTTAGTATATATTTTCTTCCTTAAATGCATATTTTTTGTTGATATAAAAGACATTTATGGAAATGCTTATGCATAATTCTTATTAAATGCATTAAAAATTTGATTATAATCATGTGTAAGCACAATTTGTTGTACGATGTTTTTTGTGTAAACTGAGATACATGCATGTGTCACAAAAAAATATGCAGTGCACAAATTGCAGCGTTTGCTTTACAAGAACACCTCTGGATTATAATATATATGTATAATTGTATATTACAGACATCAGATAGGGACCCTTATACAAAGGATGTGTCTTTTCAAGTTGTATGTTAGAAAACAGTTGACTAGACTAAAATTTATATAATAAATATTAAAAAAAGATTATGACTAAATATGCACATACAGGGTGTCCCAAAACATATGTTACACTTATATTAATGTAGAATTGATCATATTTTAGAGACAATTTCTCTCAAGAAAGAAAAAACATTGCAAAAAGAGACAATACTCTTACATACACATACTGAGAAAAAGATACTGTAAAATCATATATTTCAAAGGGTCAAATTTCCGTGGATAAAGGAAAAAAATATAAGTTAGTGGGAATTTTAATTTTGTGGATGAAAATTGCTTAGTAGTATAATCAGTGAAAAATTACACTTCATGAAAGTGCTCAATATAATACGTGGGTTTACAGTTGTGTCGAAAACCACGAGATTAAAACTCCCACCAAAATTCGCGATTTAGCGGATAGTGTACGATCATCATAATCATTACGAGGGTTGTCCCAAAAAGTCGTAGACAATGGTAATAACTTTTTTAACACACAACCAATACTAACCAAATTTTGCACAGACTTAATACATTCAATGCAATTTTAAAACTGTGAATTCTTATATATATATCTTTCATATTAATTATATTTGGATGATTGATATGTATTATAAAGCAAGGAAAAGAGACCATGTATGATAAAAAGCAGTTTTGTTAAAGATAATTTAATCAGATTAAAATCAATTTTAAGGGGAAAGATTTCTGAAATATTTACTTATGTGTAATTAAAAAGTGTTTGATACATTGAAATCAAGTTTAACATTTGACAACTAGATGCTAATGACAAATGAAAACTTAAACAATTTTAAAATATATTTTAAAAAACAGTGATATCATAAAAGTTTTATAACAATTTTAAAATGTATCATATGACCGGAGAGCTACAGTGCCACCTTGAAAAAACTGTATATTTATTGCGCAATTAAACCTTAAGATTGTTGATTAATTCTTCCAATTTTTACGTCAATTGCAAAAAAGGAAAGATTTCAAAAATTTTTTGTCCTTAGTCAAGTGCACTCATTTATGACATCTGAACGAAACATAAATAGGACCGAATTATGCTTTGAAACCAAAATGGCTTATATAAATAAGCGAAATGTACATTATTACAATTCACAAAGACTGTCAACAACAATTATGAGGAATGTTTGGTTGTGGAAACAGTGAAAGAATATCATAAGAACACACGGTTAGTAATATTTTGAGATGGCAGATAACAACATGAAGAAATAAATGGAGAAACGGTGCACTTTTTTGTGCGCAATAAATATACATGTTTTTTTGTGTGGGCATTATTGTGCTTCCTATATAATTATATATATTTCTAAAAGTAAGTGCAACGATAAACAGGTTCCGGTAATGAGTTATCGTTCTTAATATCGAATATATATTAAGCGTGTACGATTATCATGATCATGTATATAATCATTTAATATCTTCCAAGGCTACTAAAAGAATAACTGAACTATTTCATCACGTGAACAACATTGTTACTAAAATGGTTCAATATTGTGAACAAAAATATTCAAGGAAATTATAGAAATAAATATAAACAATCATCATTTACACAGATATATCTTTAAAATCCAACTTTAATTTTTTGCTTGATTAGTTATGCTTACCTTTTTGCAAACGTACCGAATCTAAAAAAAAAAATAGTTTTTACAGGTGAGGCATCCTTAGATTTCATACATTGCTTAATGGAGAAGGAATGAGTCAGCTCAGTTTTGCTCCAGTCAAGAAAGAGAGAGAGAGAGAGAGAGAGAGAGAGAGAGGGGGGATATTCAAAAATAACTTAATGATGATAAAGTCATATTGACATAATTAAAAATCTAAGCAATTTTTTGGTATAATTTAAAACTTCTTAATTTCTTGCAAAGTGCTTGGAGTGGGAATGCAGAATGTAACGTTTTACAAAGAGGGCAGTCAGAGATTAAAAAAATACAATTTACCAAAAGAGGAAAATTATTCAAGATAAAAAGTACTTTGAGGGGGGTTGTTAGGCATTCTCAGTTGACCAGAACTAACGCCATATAAAAAAACAACAAATTACACGCATGTGGCCCTGGTCGTTGGGTAAATCAGCAACAGGAATGGAATTTTATAAGCTTTTTCAACAATAAAAAATGTAATGTTATATTAAAATGTCATGGAAACATCCTTCCACAAGTAATTTTGAAATAAGGAATTTGTAGGGGAAAATCATTTTTGAAAATTTGCTAAATTATACATACACAGAAATCAATATATATTCAACGCGTGTACAATCATCATAATCATGTAAACCTTTAACAATACTAATACCTGTCAAAGCATCCCAAACAATGTGACTGGTACGATGCAGTGAACAACATTGGTTTTAAAATGATTCAATATTGTGTATAAAAATATATAATGGGCTACTTTAGAAAATGATAGAAATGAATATAAACTGGCCTCAATTGCATAGCAGAATATCGTTGAACTTTTTGAACACCTATATCTATTCTCTTTTAAACCTTATTTTTTTTAAATTGCATCCTTGGAATGTATATATTATGAAATTTAATTGAACACTTAGGCTGATTTATTTATTGGCAAGAAATCTAAAAAGTTAAATATTATATAACTAAATGAATTATAAAATCACAAAGGAAAATAAAAAAATCAAGCGTGAAGAAAAATGTTGACACCCTTGAAAAGTTTACTGCTTAGATATTAGCAAAAGGTATTTTGTTTTATTTCAGTGTGTATAACAAAGTATTTCTAATTAAAGCATTGTGTATTTATAATGAATAATTAAACATATAAAATAAACCTATTTTGGTTTCAATTTTTGCACCATTCGCTCGTAAAAAATTTGTTAAAATCCCCCCCCCCCCCGAATCATACTTTGATTTCTCTTTTACAGGGAAATGGATGGAGACATTTAGATGAAATATTATAAAAATATTCTTGATATAAGATAATTTTCTTTCAAAGACGAGTTATATGTTCAAGATTCACAATCAACTACAAATACACTGTACAATTTTCTGTTTACAAAATTCAAATTGAACATTGAACAAGATTAACCAAACAAGTCCAGCTTTTTAAAGACTAAGTACATTTCGAATTTTTTTAGCTAGCAATATTACGCATTAAATCCAAGTGCTTGCTAAACATCAAGTGTTAATCAATTTGATATCGCATGTAAATGAAGACTATTTGATGCAGGTTAAAATCACAATATTTTTTTAGAAATTAGAGTAATTTAAAAACATATTTTTATCAAACTTTACACAAATAATACTGTAAATGTATTATATTTAGCGTGTACTTTATTTGGCGGAAATTGATTTTTGAACGGGTTAGCTTAGATTTGATTTTGCACATTTCTTAATGTTCTTATTTATGTGTATATGTGCAAACATTTAGCAATTGTATTTGATGCTTTAATATATAGTATATTAATTTGATTTTTTTTTCCGCCAAAAGCGCTAAAAAGAATACACAGCCAAATGTAATACGTTTACAGTATACCTAGCATATATCAAACTCGACTCTAAACAAATTTCGGTTTTACAAAGCTGTAAAGTGTGTATATATATTTGTTTTGATATTCATGGAAATCAAAGGACCTTAATTTTCAGCAAGCATTCGTATGCTGCGTTTTCTATTATTTGACATTTTTAAATGATGACGAAACAATATATATATGTTAATAAAAGAATTTTATTTTTAAAGCTTTTGATAAATATAAAGTATTAAACTGAGTAACCGAATTTATCACAAATTCTTGAACTTGTTCTTTGTATAATATGTACATACACATAATGCTATTCGGTTTAAAAAAGTAAAATACTTCTTATTTTATATAACGTTTTCTTTGTTGATCTATTGCATTTTTTTTTTCCGATCGGGATCGATCTTCTTAAAAAAAGATCAACTCTACTTTTGATTGTAATTTTTTCTTAGAATGATTCTCATTCAGTGAACAATAGAACAATGGCTTCATCGATTTTACAAAATGACTTTACAGCATGTTCTATTTGTTTTGAAAAATTCAGGATACCAAGATGCCTGCCTTGTTCACATTTGTTTTGCCACGGATGTCTATTGTCCTACATTGTGACTTCGTGTGAATCTAAAGAGACGCCCATTGGGTTTTTATGTCCACTTTGTAGGGAATTTATCCCATCACCAGTACCTACCGACAAGCCAGAAAACTGGGCTGATAAGTTTCCACGCTGTGAAATGCTCGAAAAATACAACAGTTTAATGGAATCTAGATTATGTTCAGCGTGTCAGAGAGAAAACGAAGAGGAGGAGGCAACAAATATTTGCTTGCATTGTGAAGATGCCTTATGTTTAATATGTACGAAATACCATAGAAGAAATCGATCGTCATCCACTCACAAAATAATTCCTCTAAATCACCCAGAGGCAATTATGCAGTTGACAGCTGCTTTACAACAAAACGAAATTTGTCCAAAACATCCGGACAAAGATATCGAGTTATACTGCAATGACCACAATGAAGCATGCTGCACTCTCTGTGTAAGTATGGAGCATAGAAAATGTGAGAGCATCGACGACATAGAGAAAGCTGCGGGGAAAATAAAGAAAAGCGATAATCTACAAGCATTACAAGAAGGATTGGGAAAATATGAAGTGGACTTGCAAAAGGCAAAAAAGAATAATGAAGATAATATTAGTGAGATAGACAATAATTCTGATCTTATTATAGTGGAAACAAAAAAGTTGAAAAGGGAAATTATTGAACAGTTAGACAAACTTGAAAGCGAGCATCAAGATGAATTGAGCAAAGTAACGAAGGAGAGCAGAGAGATGTTAAAC